TGGTTCTCAGTTCAAACCATACAACTGTTCATCGTCATCTTCAACAACTTGGAAAAGTTCCTAAACTTGGAAAATGGGTGCCTCATGAATTGTCTGAAAACAACCTCAAATCCCGAGTTGACATCTGCTCTTCTCTCCATTCTCGCCAACTTGTTTCACCTTTTTTGGATAGACTTGTGACTGGCGACGAAAAATGGATCTTTTATCGAAATGTTAAGCGTCGTAGACAGTGGCTTGGTAAAGGGGAAGGACCCCAGCCACAGCCGAGAAGGGAACTTCATGGGCAAAAGGTTCTTCTTTCAATCTGGTGGGATCGCCAAGGAATAATCCACTTTGAATTCTTACCACCTAATGCAACAATTAATGCTCAAATATACTGTCAACAATTAGAGCGTTTGAACCAAGCTTTGAGGAAAAAAAACCTGCTCTAGTGAATCGAAAAGAGGTGATGTTTCATCAGGACAATGCGCGACCCCACACAGCAAGAATCACGTCACAAAAGATCGAAGAACTTGGTTGAGAGAAAATTCCTCACCCTCCTTATTCTCCCGATCTTGCTCCTTCAGGCTACTATTTGTTTCGTAGCTTACAGAATCATTTGGAAGAAACTGCTTTTGTAACACAGAAAGAGGTTAAAACTGACATTTGTGAGTTCTTCGAATCAAAGCCAAAAGAATTTTACAGTAATGGAATTAGTAAGCATGTTAATAGATGGAAGGAAGTCATAGATAATCAGGGAAAATACATTGTTGATTGAATCTGTAATAATAAATTTGGTCAAAAAATTCGACTTATATGACCTGATATATAAATAAATGTAAATTCTATGCAGTGATTCTGATCTGTTAGCCAAATTAAAATAAAAAGCAATAAACAAACATGTTGACTTCAGTAAATTGTAAGGTCAATCTCACGATATGTTTTTTTTTATTGTAAAAGGGAATTTTGGGATTGGAAATCTAAGGTAATATCAGGTTCAGGTAGAGAAGGAATGTACTAAAGACAATTTAGTGAAGTAAAGGACAATGTCAGAAGATAAGATCAGGACTGGATAAGGCAATTTTAGTTAATCTTGGGCCTCTGACCAATTTTGCTTGAACAGGAATTTTTATCAGAACACTAGTGTAATGTGATATATATATTAGATAGATAGATAGATAGATAGATTATGTCAAGGGTCTTAAACTCAAGGAAACACTACCCACTGGTAGAAGTGCATTTTCTGCCATTAAAATTAGTTTGTATCACATTCACCGATCGGGATGGGATAAAAAATTTGAGTGGGTGGTGGTAAGTCAGCCCCCTCCTGGTGATGGGCCTGGCTAGAAGTAAAGTGAGTAAGGGACATAAGATTGGACAGCTATAGTGTCAATCTATCTATATATCCTGCTGTAATCTAACTAGTATGGTTGACTTCATCTTGTTGTTGCAGAGATCCGGTAGATTTGTCAGATACATCTTTTCAAGGATTTAAACAACACAATGAACTATCAACAAGGAAGTGACAAATCAACCACCTGGAAGCAAGAAGTGATTAAGACCCTAGAAACCATGAATCAGAGATGATGTGGTATTATATCTTTATGTTATATTTTTTGCTCAGCAATATTATGCAAACATATCAAGAATTGTATTTTATCCTTTACCTCTATCATAAAATACAAATATTCCCACTTCTCTTGAAAACGTAAGTTCTCCTCAGCAATTTCACTTTGACATTGTTGATTAAAAACAGTCATTCTTTGAATTGCATGCCTGACTAAAATATTCAGGATATATAAGAAAAAGTTTTCACTAAATAGTAAAAATTTGCTGCTGTAATAAGAATAGTGTAAAGTCTACACACAATTTATGATAAATAAGCAAGAATAATAAACAGATTACTTGTGTCAGTATGTATAAAAATTTTCAGTGTATTATTTAAGTGATATGTCCCAGAAAGGGATATACTGCCAAATTCTGATGAAATGAGTCGCCGCCTTTCTGACCTAATTTTGACTTTAAGCTGATGCTTAAAGAACAAGATCAGCTCTGAAGAAGTGAACTTCTCGCCTTCATAGAATCCCTTCTGATGTGTCGTCCAAATCATAACACCTAGCAAGCATAAGAACATATAATGTTCAGCCTTCGTCATCTGCAGTGCCACATTGCTATGAACAGAAGTGTTACGAAAGAATTTTCCATGCAGCATTGCGAACCATGAGGCCCTCAACAAACCTGCACAATGGCGCTATCACCCTGGAATGAAAGAAGGCGTGACCAATAGTTTTGACATCCCAATCACAGCGTCGGCAGTTTAGATATTTCTCCAAGCCCGCTATGCAAAGTCTCTTGGTGACCCAGAGGGCTCCTCGCATCACCAGCCAGGTGAGTGATGCCTCATTGTTATTGAAACATTTCAACCTGGGCGCCCAAGACCATATTGAGCGAGCTTCGTAAGACCGAGCTTGTGACTCAGTTCATTATGAACGAACCTAATACCTGATATAATGCCTTATGAGACAACGCCAGCACGTTGGAGAGGCCATCTGATGCCCATAGAAGGGGTTTCAGAGCATGATTACATTCACGGTAAAAGGAGCATTTAGCTCGGGGTAAATGATGGGTCTCCTCCTCACACGAGTGCACTCTTCTCAGGGATGGGAAATTCTTATGGGCATCTTCCTTCCAGAAGGCGCCCTCCTCGGATTCATGACACATTTGATCCAGCATATATTGATGAATCTCAATGCTAGGCATAACTAGACCGCCTTCAGATGGATGAAGGTAACAGATCTCCCAAGAGACTCTGGTGGTTTTGCCTCCCTACAAGAAGGAGAACAAGAGCCTCACTAATGCCATTAAATTGTCATACAGAAGAGGAAGCACAGCGAGTCGGTAAAAGAGAATCGGGTAGATGTGTGAAACACATACTTCTCCTCTCCTCTTTAAGGAATGATTCTTCTGAGACCACAACTTAATTTCGATCTCGTCCAATCCATTTCCAACTGGATATCAGGACCAAACCAGACACCGAGAATCTTGACTGGCCCATCCGTCCAGAGGAAAGGTCCGGGAAGAGAAACTCCCTTCCATGCACCCAATTGCAAGCCAACAGACTTATCAAGGTTGATCATGGCCCCTGTCACCATCACATAACTACTGATTTCTTTTCTGATTTCGTCAATCGCGGCCCTGCTCGACTCAAGAACTGAAATGTCATCAGCATAGGTGGAATACATGGCTGAGTTGGTAGGACCAGGTAGGGAAATTCCGCGAAGGGCTGGATTCATCTTTAACTTGCAAAGGAAAGGTCCCAACGCAAGAAAGCAAAGCAAAGGCGAAAGCAGACAACCTTGACGAATGGAGCGAGACAATACGAAAAACTCTGATCGTACCCCATTCACCTCCATCAGCGCACCGGGAGTCACATACAGAAGTTGGATCCAGGTGCGAAAGTATGGCCTGAAACCGGCCATTGAAAGGACAGCCTCGAGAAACCGATGGTCAACTCTATCAACTTTGCTCACAGGCCGTTTGCGCCGTTAATCTATCTAGAGTGAGCCAATAACTATAATCGTTCTAATTTTGGATTTTAGGTTATCCCAACAGGCATTTCCCACCACAGTCCCCGTCAGTTCCCTCTGTATCATTAGTAGCAGCTGGTCCTGAAAATAATGAGCAGTTTAATTTCCAGTAACCAGCCATCTTAACCTTAGGCTTATCTAAGTTTACACGGACCTGGACTAACCTATGATCCGAATAAACTATATAATGAAAACTTGGACACCCTAAGAGCCCTACATTGACTCTCCTGACTAAGACTCAGTCGATGTAGCTAGAACGCACCTCAGTAGCCATGCCGCCATCATTAGTCAAAGTCCACACTACTTCCCGAGGGTGTTCATTCCGGTACTTATCAACAAGATCAAACTTGTTGATAAAGTCCCGAAATAGTTTCACGTCCCGGTTGTTAGTACCCAAATTTGTCTCTATACAATCTATATCGTGGTCAACGATAGCATTCCAATCACCCACTAAAACTACTACTCCGTCCGCCAAAACAAAGCAGGCTGCTCAAAATGCTTATTGGGTGCATAAACCCTAATGAGACGTAGAGCCTTATCCTTTATGGTAACATCCAGCACACAAAGTCTGCCTGCCAGATCTGCACAGAAAAGAGCACACGCAGCCTTCAAAGACTTGCTCACCATGCAAGAGACAGCCCTTGAGCGTCCATCAAAACATGCTGAATAGACAGAAAAACCCTCAAGACAGAATTCCCTTATGATCGCGAGAAGAAAAACGGGTTTCTTGCACACAACATACATCCACCCTGAGACACTGAAGGTCACGAAAGAACCTCACCCTGCGAGACTCAGACCTCGGACATTCAAACTAGCTAACAAGAGAGACATTATCAAACCGATTAGGGTTGCTCTCGTGGATTGAACATGGACGGGGTTAGGATACCAACAGTCTCCCCCATCGACCCGTAGCCCATCTCAGTCTTGATGGTGTCATCTTGGGAGAGGCCGCCTATATTCCAAGGGAAAGTCAACTTTAGTGTTCTATAGAGGGAGGCATGAACAAAAACAGGGACCCTCCCAGCACAAAATTATTTTATTTGTTTAATTTGTTGTTTTGAATGATAGCTATTGGCGGGGAGATTTTAAAACGAGGCTATTGCTTCATCCAGCCTGTTTAACCCCCGTCCCAGTTCTTATTACAGTTAAGACTCTTTCTGCTGTAGGAAAGTTTTGGGGCTCCTCAATGTCTTTATCAGCAAAATGTTTCATTGATAAAAGGTATCTTAAATCTTTAATGCGGTTCCTGTAGTCTCTGGCTTTTTCCGCTTGGGCAGGGGATATGCGGCAAACATCTACACCTGAATTGAAGATGTGCTTTTGCCTCTTTCTTTTTTCACTTAAGTCCTGTGTAGGACTTCTGAGTCTTTTGTTTTGGGGAGGGGGCATTTCAGGAGTTTTCATGGGAGAAGGACTGGGGGTGTGGCGAGGTGTTTATCTGAAGGGGCTGGCATCTCTACTTAGAGGGATTGAGGGATGGGAAAAAGATGTAGATGGAATGGCAGGTAAGGTCTTCTCTCTACAAAGAGGGGTTGATGGATGGGGACAGGTCAGAGGGTATGGAGGGAGTGGCTTTCTTTGTAGAGGAGGTCTTGGGCTGACTGGAGGTAGAGGCGTATGTGTTTTTCTGAAGAGGCTGAGGTCTCTACTGAGAGGGGTTGAGGGGTTGAAAAATATGGGAAGGAGTGGCCTTTTGGACGGGAAAGGACTTCTGTCTACTAAGAGGGGTTGCGGGGTGGGAAGAATGTGATGGGTCAGAGGGTGTGGAGGGGGTGGCCTTCTTTGTAGCGGACGTCTTGAGCTGACTGGAGGTAGAGGACTGTGAGGACTTTGCTGAATGTGAGGCAGTGGATGAGGAGGGAATAGCTTTCTTAATGGGAGAGGATTTTGTATGGCGTTGGAGGTCTAATTTTTCCTTAAGTATTTTGATTTTTTCAGTCTTTTCAAAATCGGGATCATATTTCTTTTGTACATCTTGTAGGGTCTGTTTAGAGGTAGGGCGTTGCCTATACTGTTGACAGCGGGAGTGGGACTGTTAGTACCTTTTGTCCCAGACTAAGGACCCGCTGTCTGGCGCTTCCCTCTGGTCCTGCCAGCAACCTGCCATTCCTCCTCTCCCTTCTCCACGACTGCACTTGCAGCGGGCGAAAGTTCTTTGGGGAATGGGGGCTTAGAATTTGACCCAACCAGGGGTTTCACCACATCAGTTCCGAAAGCTGGCATGCCCATTACAGGCATGGCGGTATTCAAAGACGCAGTCAGAGGGGGGGTTTGGTTGACTGTGACCTCCTCTTCCTGCCCAGAGGCCTTCTTCTCTGGGCAGGAAGAGGAGAGGTGACCAGTCTCTCTACACTTCCAACACACCAGTTGTCGGTCACAATGACTGGCTGCTTCAGGCCCCCAACTTCCAGACAGTTGGGGATGGAGAGGAAGGCTTTTCGATCTAACATGATGTCAAAGCTCCATACCCCAGTCAAGCTATCACAGGAAGCACCTAGTAATTCGCCATACTGCAACAAGAATGCCGCCAGGTGTTCCTGACAACCTGAGGAAAGACCTTGTATATCGCTACTATGGTTCTTCTCCTGCTTTTGCAGAATGATATCTTTTGTTGTTATTTCTCTGCTTGTTGCTTTGACACAATCTTCGGGTGTGGGTAGCAATACATCCCACATGAAAAAGCCCGAGCCCTTAGTAATTCTTAGTGGCTCAAACCCCAGAAATTTCTTTACGTGTGACAAATTTTTGTGTGTGTTTGTAAACTAAGATAACACTATTCTTTTTGTATCTTCTTTAGTTCTATGGGATTCTCTAAGAGCCCACCTTCCATAAGGTGTTCATAACTATTGGCACACTCCAAGAACTCCACTATATCAATAATGCATTTCAGTGGGGACTTCCAACAACAAAGTGAATCCCCGGCCTCTGCATTAGTTGTCTTTTTATTTTTGTTTTGGCCATTTTGTTTTGGTCATTTTGGCTTCTGGTCACATTCTTTTGGCCCTTAATGGCCTCCATATTTTGCTTTGACTTATCTTGGCCACCAAAGGCCTTGTCATTTGAGGGTGAAATTGGTAGTGCAGGGTACTTCTTATGATTATCTTTATCTGAAGGGTGTGTCTTTTTTTTACCGAAAATAAATGTTTCCTGACTGACTTTCTAAGGTTGGCCTTCTTTTGGTTCTTTTTTAGAATAAAAAATGATGGAACACTTTTTTCTTCTCTTTTTTCCATTTTTAAAAGGCAAAACTAAAAAAAAAAACAAGGTTCACTTAATAGCGAAACAACAAATTTAAATAGACAAAAGAACAAACACAAAACCAAAAGAAGTACAAAAATTAGACAAGAAAATTAAAACAATATAAACAAGGTTCACCCGTAAGTGAGACTACAAATTTAAAAAACGACAAACACAACACAGAAGGATGTAACAAAATATTAAATAGACAAAGGACGAAAACAAATAAACAAGGTTCACCTAAAGGCGAAACAACAAATTTAAAACAGTCAAAAAAAAGAAAAAACAACAGAAAGACAAACAAAAGATTAAATAGACGACAGACAAGAAAACAACAAAATAAGCAATAAAAACGAAATGCTATACAACAAAAACGCTAGAAAATACAAAATGATAAATATGTAATAATTGAAAATATGGCTGCTGATAAAAATTGGTCAACCCTATAACAAAACAACAAACAAGAAAAGAAGAAAATGAACAGAATATACAAAATAAACACAAAATTTAGAAATAAATATATGTACAAAGATATTAACAAATAAAATACAGAACTTTACGGATATTTAAAAGAAAAAACACAGAACAAAGTAACACATAATACTAAACAAAGAAAAATAAAGGCGAACGAAACAAGTAGAAAGAAAAATAAACAAATAAACTCTGGGAAGGGAAAATGAGAAGAAAATAAATTCAAAAAGGAAATAAACTGTAAGAGAAAATTAGAAAGTTAAATAATAAAAAACAATAATAAAATAAAGTAAAAATAAAAATGGGGAGGATAAGGAATTGAAAAAGAAAAAATCAATAACTTGGCAAAACAGTCGCAAAAGAACGTAAGAGAAAACGGTAAAAATAAATCAAACTTAACTAAAGAACAATAGTTAATGGTTCTCAGAATAAAGGTCTAACACAGTCAGAGGCTTATTCAGCTGAGAATACAAGGTTCGCGTATAGTATCCTTTTATAGGCTGAGTAAACAGTAATAGCTTTCTCAAAGAGGAGAGTAACAAAACAAAGGGAGACCACACTTGATTATTCATAACACCTATATAATTTCAATCAGTTAAGGGACAAATTTTATAATTGTATTAATCCTGTTTACCTATATACGAAGATCAGTTAAAGTAGAGTAAATGACATTTTAATACACTGATATTGAAGTAAGACTATAAGGTTCATTTTTCATCTTCATTAATAATAATGAAGTAAGACTATTATAATAAAGCATTCATTCATGGCAGATTCTTCATGTTTATATTGTTTTTCATAACAAAATATGATTGTTTAGGAGATAAGTGAAATCATTTTCAATAGATGATATGAACAGCCGGTTTAAGACACAAAGGTCCTAAGCACTTAAAAGATTTTAGTGACCCCATACATCTGCGAGCTAAGTATGCTAGCCTAGAGTCTCGGTGAGTAGTGCAAAAAAAGACAACAGACATTGTGGAAACACCAGCTGAAAATAAGTATAGAAGGATTCAAAGGTACATATAACCATCCAAAGAGCCTCTGATCATCAATTCCAAAAGCTAAGCAAAGTGCTGGGAAACAGGAACATTTTGTTAGAAACAAAGAATAGAGTTCTGGTATGTTATGTGATTTGAATGTAGGACAATCCCCACACAGATGAAGAGAAAACTGGAAGTAACATTAATGTGGTTCTACAGAAGGATATTGAGAATTCTAAAGATGAAGTGAGTAATCAACAAGGAAGTCTTAAAGAAAATGGCAACAGAACACTTCTACTCAGATTCAGAAAAAAACAGTTGAAATTCCTTAGACACATAATGAAAAAAGAAGGCTTGGAAAACTTATCCCTCACACATTATATTGAATTCAAGACAGATAGGGGAAGACAATGAGCCACAAGGGATAGGAAGTTCTGGAGAACCATGATCAGCCATGTCTCAAAGGGGCACAACACATAGAAGAAGAATATTTACTTACTAAGGATATTGTAGGTACCACCAAAATGGATGAGTTTTTTCCAACATAAAAGCAAAATAATCATTACCCACTATTTAAAATATTTGCAAAATTCAGGGAATTCAAATAAAATTTTCAGTGCTTATTCACTAATGAATGAATTTTACACTGAATAGGTTATTTTATTAGAAAACTTTGTGGAAGTATTTTTTTGTTGGCCTGTTCACCACCCCAACCATCACTATCTTGTGTGTACTTTGAGAGGTGGTGTGTAGCAGTTCATCATATTTTTTACCATTTATATAAAGAAGAATACCGGAAGATGTCATTTCGTTAAAAGTTTTTTGCATAATCAAGTGTGAACATTATGAGGTAAATGTCCTGTAGCTTGGTGAGGAAGAGTTTAAACCTCATGCACCTTGGTGAGGAATAGTGTAAATGCCATTCTGCTTGGTGAGGAAGAGTGTAAATGTTGAGTAACTTAGTGAGGTAGAGTGTAAATGTTATGTACCTTAGTGAGGTAGAGTTTTGTAGCTTGGTGAGGAATAGTGTAAATGTCATGATACTTGGTGAGGAATAGTGTAAATATTGTGTATCTTGGTGAGGTAGGTTTTAAATGCCATATATCTAGGTGAGGAAGAATGTAAATGCAGTGTAGCTTGGTAAGGAAGTGTGTAAATATAGCTCTGCTTGGTGAGGAAGAGTTTAAACATTGTGTACCGTGGTGAGGAAGAGTGTAAATGCCATGTAGGTTGGTGAGGAATAAAATATCACATGCTATTGATTTGTAAATGACTTGTAGTTTATGATACATTGGTAAATTTATGTAAATGACATGGTTTAGAGGAAGAGTTTAAACATTGTAACTTGGTGACCGTGTAGTGAGGAAAGTAAGCTTGTACCTTAGTGCCATGTGACTTGGTAGCTTGAATAAGTGTGTAAATGTCATGTACATTGTTGAGAAGAGTTTAAATGACTTGTAGTTTGAGAGGAAAGAGTGTCAATGTACCGTTTAGGTTGGTGAAAGAAAGGTGTCAATGTCATGTAGCTTGGGAAGAGTTTAAACCTCATGTCTTGGTGATGAAATACCATTCACCTTGGTGAGGAAGAGTGTAAATATGGTGTAACGGGTTGATTTAGAGGAAAAGTTTAAATGTAATGTACCTTAATGAAATAGAAGAATGTCATGTAAATGTCGTGTTGTTTTGTGAGGAATTTAATGGGTAAATTAGGTGGAGCTTGGTGAGAAGAGTGTAAATATCATGTAAGCTTGAAAGTTAGTATATACCTTAATGAGTTAGGAAATGTTTAAAGGAATAAAATGTCAATTGGTGAGAAGAGGTTACCTTAATGAAGAATAGTGTAAATGCCATTCAGCTTGGTGAGGAAGAGTTTAAATGTACTGTAGCTTGGTGAGGAGAGATTAAATGCTGTGTACCTTGGTGAGGAAGAGTGTAAATGTGGTGTAGCTTGGTGAGGAAGAGTGTAAATGCCATGTAGCTTGATGAGGTAGATTTAAAATGTTGTGTAAATGTCTTGTAGCTTGGTGAGGAAGAGTGTCAGTGTTGTGTAACTTGGTGCAGAAGAGTGTCAGTGTTGTGTAACTTTGTGCGGAAGAGTGTCAGTGTCATGTATGCTTGGAGAAGAATAGTGTAAATGTCGTGTACCATTGTGAGGAAGAGTGTAAGTGTGGTGTAGCTTGATGAAAAAGAGTGTAAATGTCATGTAGCTTGTTGAGGAATAGTGCAAATGTCGTGTAACTTTGGGAGGAAGAGTGTAAATGACAAGCATGTAGATGAAACCAGTGTAAATGTTGTGCAGCTTGGTAAGGAGAATAAGAAGAGTGTAAATGCCACGTGCCTGGGTGAGGAAGAGTTTCAATGTTGTGTACCTTGGAGAAGAAGAGTGCAAATGTAAGTTGGTGAGGAAGAGTGTAAATGCCATGTATACGGTGAAAACCAGTGTAAATGTTGTGCAGCTTGGTAAGGAAGAGCATAAATGTCATATACCTTGGTGAGAATAAATGTCGTGTTGTTTGCTGGTTTTAAACTTGGAGTGCTTAGTGAGGAAAAGGTAAATAACCTTGATTGGGAAAGTTTAAATGGTTTTATAAGCTAGATGAAGAAAGATGTCAATATCGTGTATCTTGGTGTAAATGTTGTGTACCTTCGTAAGGAAGAGTGTAAATGTCATGTAAGCTTGGTGAGAATAATTTAAAAATTAATGAGGAAGAGGGTAAATGTGATGTAGCTTGGTTAGGAAAAGTTTAAATGTCATGTATGAAGAAAGAGGGTAAATGTCATTAGTGAGGTAAATTGAGTTAAATTTGGTGAGGAAATGTTGTATGATGTGGCTTGGTTAGGAATAGTTTAAATGTCATTTAATGAAGAAAAGAGGGTAAATGTCGTGTTGCTTGGTGAGAATAGTGTAAATTTGGTGGAGCTTGAGTGAGGAAGAGTGTAAATATGGTGTAGGCGTGGTTAGGAAAAAAGTTTAAATGTCATATTACCTTAATGAAGAAAGGTAAATGTCGTGTTGCTTGTTGAGGAATAGTGTAAATATCAGCTTGGTGGGAAGAGTGTAAATATGGTGTAACTTGGTTGGAAAAGTTTAAATGTCATGTACCTTAATGAAGAAGAGGGTAAATGTTGTGTTGCTTGGTGAGGAATAATAGTAAGTGGGTGGGAGCTTGAGTGAGGAAAGAGTGTAAATGTGGTGTAACGTGGTTAGGAAAAGTTTAAATGTCATGTACCTTAATGAAGAAAAGGAGTCGTGTTGCTTGGTGAGGAATAATGTAAATTTGGTGGAGCTTGGTGAGGAAGAGTGTAAATATGATGTAGCAGTTGGAAAAGTTTAAATATCATGTACCTTAATGAAGAAGAGGGTAAATGTCGTGTTGCTTGGTGAGGAATAATGTAAATTGGGTGGAGCTTGGTGAGGAAGAGTGTAAATGTGGTGTAGCGTGGTTAGGAAAAGTTTAAATGTCATGTACCTTAATGAAGAAGAGGGTAAATGTCGTGTTGCTTGGTGAGGAATAATGTAAATTGGGTGGAGCTTGGTGAGGAAGAATTAAATATGGTGTTAGCTTGGTTAAATATCATGAAAAAGTTTAAATGTCATTTTGTGCCTTAATAGGTATGTAAGAAGAGGGTAAATGTCGTGTTGTTAGAAAATTTAAATGCTTGAACCTGAGAATAATGTAAATTGGGTGGAGCTTAGTGAGGAAGAGTGTAAATATGATGTAGCGTGGTTAGGAAAAGTTTAAATGTCATGTACCTTAATGAAGAAGAGGGTAAATGTCGTGTTGCTTGGTGAGGAATAGTGTAAACTTGGAGGAGCTTGGTGAGGAAGAGTGTAAATGTGGTGTACCTTGGTTAGGAAAAGTTTTAAATGTCATGTACCTTAATGAAGAAAGAGGGTAAATGTCGTGTTTGCTTAGTGAGAATAATGTAAATTGGTGGAACTTGGTGAGGAAGAGTGTAAATATGGTGTAGCTTGGTTAGGAAAAGTTTAAATGTCATGTACCTTAATGAAGAAGAGGTAAATGTCGTTTTGCTTGGTGAGATAATAGTGTAAACTTGGAGGAGCTTGGTGAGGAAGAGTGTAAATATGATGTAACGGGTTAGGAAAAGTTTAAATGTCATGTACCTTAATGAAGAAGAGGGTTAAATGTCGTGTTGTGAGTGAGGAATAATGTATAAATTTGGTGGAGCTTAGTGAGGAAGAGTGTAAATATGGTGTAGTTGTTTAGGAAAAGTTTTAAATGTCATGTACCTTAATGAAGAGAGGGTAAATGTCGTGTTGCTTAGTGAGAATAGTGTAAACTTGGAGGAGCTTAGGTGAGGAAAGATAAATTGTAAATATGGTGTAGCTTGGTTAGGAAAAGTTTAAATGTCATGTACCTTAATGAAGAAAGTAAATATCGTGTTACTTGTGAGGAATAAATGTAAACTTGGAGGGAGCTTAGTGAGGAAAAGTTTAAATGTGGCATGCTTATGAAGGAAAAGTTTAAATGTCATGTACCTTAATGAAGAAGAGAGGTAAATGTCGTGTTGCTTGGTGAGGAATAGTTGGTTGGAAGGAGGAAAGGTGAGGAAATGTGTAAATGTGATGTAAGCTTGGTTAGGAAAAGTTTAAATGTCATGTACCTTAATGAAGAAGAGGGTAAATGTCGTGTTGCTTGGTGAGGAATAGTGTAAACTTGGAGGAGCTTAGTGAGGAAGAGTGTAAATGTGGTGTAGCTTGGTTAGGAAAAGTTTAAATGTCATGTACCTTAATGAAGAAGAGGGTAAATGTCGTGTTGCTTGGTGAGGAATAGTGTAAACTTGGAGGAGCTTGGTGAGGAAGAGTGTAAATATGGTGTAGCTTGGTTAGGAAAAGTTTAAATGTCATGTACCTTAATGAAGAAGAGGGTAAATGTCGTATTTGTTGTGAGGAATAATTATGTAAACTTGGAAAAACTTGGTGAGGAAGAGTATAAATATGGTGTAGCTGGTTAGGAAAAGTTTAAATGTAATGTACCTTAATGAAGAAGAGGGTAAATGTCGTGTTGCTTGGTGAGGAATAATGTAAATTGGGTGGAGCTTGGTGAGGAAGAGTGTAAATATGGTGTAGCTTGGTTAGGAAAAGTTTAAATGTCATGTACCTTAATGAAGAAGAGGGTAAATGTCGTGTTGCTTGGTGAGGAATAATGTAAATTGGGTGGAGCTTGGTGAGGAAGAGTGTAAATATGATGTAGCTTGGTTAGGAAAAGTTTAAATGTCATGTACCTTAATGAAGAAGAGGGTAAATGTCGTGTTGCTTGGTGAGGAATAGTGTAAACTTGGAGGAGCTTAGTGAGGAAGAGTGTAAATATGGTGTAGCTTGGTTAGGAAAAGTTTAAATGTCATGTACCTTAATGAAGAGAAGAGAGGTAAATGTCGTGTTGCTTGATGAGGAATAATGTAAACTTGGAGGAACTTAGTGAGGAAGAGTGTAAATATGGTGTAGCGTGGTTTAGGAAAAAGTTTAAATGTCATGTACCTTAATGAAGAAGAGGTAAATGTCGTGTTGCTTAGTGAGAATAATGTAAACTGGGTGGAGCTTAGTGAGGAAAAGTGTAAATATGGTGTAGCAATGGTTAGGAAAAGTTTAAATGTCATGTACCTTAATGAAGAAGAGAATTAAAAATGTCGTGTTTTTACTTGGTGAGGAATAGTGTAAACTTGGAGGAGCTTAGTGAGGAAGAGTGTAAATATGGTGTAGCTTGATTAGGAAAAGTTTAAATGTCATGTACCTTAATGAAGAAGAGGGTAAATGTCGTGTTGCTTGGTGAGGAATAGTGTAAACTTGGAGGAGCTTAGTGAGGAAGAGTGTAAATATGGTGTAGCTTGGTTAGGAAAAGTTTAAATGTCATGTACCTTAATGAAGAAGAGGGTAAATGTCGTGTTGCTTGGTGAGGAATAGTGTAAACTTGGAGGAGCTTAGTAAGGAAAAGTGTAAATATGGTGTAAGCTTAGTTAGGAAAAAGATTAAATGTCATATGTACCTTAATGAAGAAGAGAGTAAATGTCGCGTCGCTTGGTGAGAATAGTGTATAAACTTGGAGAACTTAGTGAGGAAAGAGTGTAAATATGGTGTAGCTTGGTTGGAAAAATTTAAATATCATGTGTACCTTAATGAAGAAGAGGTAAATGTCGTGTTGTTTGGTGAGGAATAGTGTAAACTTGGAGGAGCTTAGTGAGGAATAGTGTAAATATGCGTAACTTGGAGTTGGAGAAAGTTTAAATGTCATGTACCTTAATGAAGAAGGGAGTAAATGTCGTGTTGCTTAGTGATAACTATAAACTTGGAGGGCTTAGTGAGTTAGAGTGTAAATATGGTGTAAGCTTGGTTAGGAAAAGTTTAAATGTCATGTACCTTAATGAAGAAGAGGGTAAATGTCGTGTTGCTTGGTGAGGAATAGTGTAAACTTGGAGGAGCTTGGTGAGGAAGAGTGTAAATATGGTGCAGCTTGATTGGGAAAAGTTTAAATGTCATGTACCTTAATGAAGAAGAGGGTAAATGTCGTGTTGCTTGGTGAGGAATAGTGTAAATTTGGTGGAGCTTGGTGAGGAAGAGTGTAAATATGGTGTAGCTTGGTTAGGAAAAGTTTAAATGTCATGTACCTTAATGAAGAAGAGGGTAAATGTCGTGTTGCTTGGTGAGGAATAGTGTAAACTTGGAGGAGCTTAGTGAGGAAGAGTGTAAATATGGTGTAGCTTGGTTAGGAAAAGTTTAAATGTCATGTACCTTAATGAAGAGATGAAATGTCGTGTTGCTTGAGTGAGGAATAATGTAAATTTGGTGGAGCTTAGTGAGGAAGAGTGTAAATATGGTGTAGCTTGGTTAGGAAAAGTTTAAATGTAATGTACCTTAATGAAGAAGAGGGTAAATGTCGTGTTGCTTGGTGAGGAATAATGTAAATTGGGTGGAGCTTGGTGAGGAAGAGTGTAAATATGGTGCAACAGTTAGGAAAAGTTTAAATATCATGTACCTTAATGAAGAAGAGGGGTAAATGTCGTGTTGCATGGTGAGAATAATGTAAATTTGGTGGAGCTTGGTGAGGAAGAGTGTAAATGTGATTGTAGCGTGGTTAGGAAAAGTTTAAATGTCATGTACCTTAATAATGAAATGAAGAGGTAAATGTCTTATTTGCTTAGTGTGCAGGAATAATTTAAATTTGGAAAGGAGCTTTGGTGAGGAATGATAGTGTAAATATGTGAGGAAGAGATGTAAATATGATTGGTTAGGAAAAGATTTAAATGTCATGTACCTTAATGAAGAAGAGGTAAAATGTCGTGTTGCTTGGTGAGGAATAGTGTAAACTTGGAGGAGCTTAGTGAGGAAGAGTGTAAATATGGTGTAGCGTGGTTAGGAAAAGTTTAAATGTCATGTACCTTAATGAAGAAGAGGGTAAATGTCGTGTTGCTTGGTGAGGAATAATGTAAATTGGGTGGAGCTTGGTGAGGAAGAGTG